AGCGCCGTGCGGGGAGCAGCCCCGCTCCTGGCACAGCCAGTCCCCACCAGCGGGTGTGCTCGGCCACCGCTCCGGGGAGGGAGGGTTGCCTGCTTGTGAGCGGAAAACCCTTGCTTTTCAGGATCTGTGGCAGCCTCGGGAGAGGGTCTGTGAAGACATCTTCCTTGCAAAGATTCAAACCCCAGGAGCTGGGGCCCCTGGGCCAAGAGAAGGGGGCCTGGCCGAGACGAGGCACTGCAGCCAAAGTAGGCCTGGACGAGTGCTGGGGTCCAGGCGACAGAAGGTCTAAGAAGGTGGCCTCCAGAAGCCCAGCGTGCCCGAGGGGACTTGGGCCAGGGAAGAGGCACACACTCACCCCGTCACGTCCACGCCCCTCCTGGACACCAGCGCCCGGCTCGTGGACGTCGAGGTGTGGACGTGTGTCTTTCAGTTGGGGAAACGCGCCACCTTGTGCTTTCACACGACCGTGAAGGTCAGCGTGCAAGAGCGCGGCCGCAGGAGGGACAGAATGCGTTTGGGCTCTTGAGGGGAGAAATCTGGCCTTTTCCACAGGCCCTCACGCCAGACACGGGAGAGCGGCCTCCTGTCTCTCCCCAGGGCAGCCCTGCAGGGTGTGAGCCAGCACCTGGCCCGGATCCCCTCCTGGCGGCCCCGGCACCCAGCCAGCGGGGGAGGCTCCCCAGGTGCACAGCTCCCAGTTCTCCAAGGCCAGCCCCCGAGCCACCTGCCTTTGGAGGGGTCCTTCCCTGGCTCTCTCGCTGCCAATGACGCCCTCTAATCTCCACACCCTGCACTGCACGCGTGGGGCTGCCGCAGAGCTAGGCCTGCCCCTTTCCTCCAGCCTTTGTGGACGCCACGCACCCCTGCACCTGAGCACTCCCAAACCTGTATCCCAGGATGCAACTCTGACCCTCGGGGCCCCCACACCTCCGTCTGGGCACAGCCCGGGCCAGGACCTCCCAGAGAGAAGGGATGGGTTTTGTTCACACCCTGCCGGGGTCCGGCCCTGCAGGTGTGCAAGTAAGACGAGCAAAGAACATCCCTCCTCCTCTCCCTGCTACCACTTGCCCGACCAGCCCTGAGCAAGGAGGGTGAGGTTAAAGCCTCCAACAGACGGGAGAAAAAGAGTTCTCCCCAGTCTGCCTGAAACAGCACGTACTGCTCTGAAGTGCTTCTGGAACGGACCCGCTTACAAGTCCACACACAGTGTATTCAAAGTACCTGCGGTGAGAGCCCCGGGAAGGTTTCTGGGTGAGCGTCTGCTTTCTGAGGGGCTGGCAGGACCGGTGGGTTTGCTGGTCTCATCCTCTGCCCTTCCGCTGACCTGTTCTCGGCTGAACAAGAGAACCTGTTTTATCTCAAGTCCGCCACGAGGCCTGCAGGAGGTTCAGAGCGCCCCGAGGACAACGTCCACACACGTGTTACTCCCTGTACAAGGACGTGGGAGACCTCAGAAGAGGCGCCAAAGGAAGCCAAGAATGGCCAAAGGGAATCCAACCTTCCCCAAAGCGCCTGGCGGTCCCGACGCCCCCCCCCCACAGCACACAACACTCCCCTCGCAGTTTCGGTTTCAGCACGTATGGACGGTGGCAAGCGGGCAGTCTGCTCGAGCACCCACTGGGCCTTTAGTTTTCCTCCTCCAGAGCCAGTTCAGAGGAGCTCGGGAGGGGTCCTCCGCGTGTGTGCCGGCGCCCGGCCCGCTCCGTCCCCAGCGCCCGGCAGCACGCGTGAGGATGTTCCCAGAACGTGTCTGGACTGAGCCTCCACCCTCAGGACCTGAATCTCACTGTGAGACGGAGGAGCAGGTGCCAGCGCTTAACCAGACGCCCGGGAAACAGCCAGCCGGCCTCAGAGTGACACCCACGTTGCAGCCAGGTGCTGGGGACGCTCTCGGCCTGTCTCTCCATTTCCATTTCCTGCCAGTCTGTGAGGTCCCCCTCCTGCAGCTGCGAGGTCGCTGCGCTACTGCCTAGTCACCCCCAGCCCCCTCAGCTGTCCCGTCAGGAGGGTGCCGCGGGTACCTGGCCACTGGTCAGACGTGCTGACGTAGGTCAGGAGGCCACAGAGCATCAGAAAGGCCAGCAGGAAGAGAATGGCGTTCCGCTGAAACCTGGACAGCTGCTTCCATTTCTGAGGGCGGGCAGAGAACGACACTCTTTACTGACAGTAACACAACGGGAAACCTCAACTGTGGCAAACTCCTTGAGGACGAGGAGGAATTCAGAAGGTCCAGTGAGGGGCCCTGTTGCTTCTGAAATGCGGGAAGCTCCGTCTCAGCGGGGACCACACTGCAGCTGACACACGGCACTGGTGGCGCGATGCGAACGAAAACACACGTCGGAAGCGCTTCCGCCCCACGCGTGGGCAGTGGAGAGAGACGGGCAACTCTCGTGTCCCGGCTGAGGCCGGGGGGGCCTTGCCTCTGCCGAGATGTGCGGGGCCGCCGCCCCGCAGCCCGGGACCCGGGACAGCAGGACCGGTGGCCCCCACCTCCTCGCCCCTGAAAATGTGCAAGTTCTTTGTGTCTCATTAAAGACTTTGTGGAACGGAAATTGAGTACTAACTGACTATGGTTTTGGCCGCTGGATATTCTTGACCCATTAGGTCTTATAATAGGACCACTGTGCCCTCAGCAAACACAATTTATTGAGGTGAGGTCAAGTACAATTTGCACAACTTAAATTTGGGATCAGTGATATAATGGAAACTTACGAACCAGAAGGGGCCTGTTGGGCGCCCAGGAAAAGGGGATGGGTGTTGTGCTTCTCCTTAATTACTATGAGACCATGGAGTCTGAAATCACAGAATGAAGGTAAGGGAGATTTGTTTGTGTTGTTTGTCACCTCTCAGTAGCCAGACCAAAATCTCCTGATTCTAGACAGAAGTAAAAGAAAATCACCTCTCAGGATGTAAATCCAGGTCAGAGAAAGAAGTCTGTATAAAGCTTAAAACGGTGACTGGGGCAAAGTTTGTCCAGAGGAAACAAGATTGAGAAGAAACCTTCTGAATGTCTTAGCTCTAGAGGCCAGCATGAGGACGGACTGATAGACAATGTTGAAGACATTAGAAAGCCGAGAGGCAGACAAACCATCAGGAAGCAGATGTTAGAGACCAGAATAAAACTGCACCAAGTTGAAACAGAAATGTAATCAGATTACTAAAACACCACTAAGGGGCTTACTCCTAGGAACACACACACAGCAATGCTGCGGTGTGAATGGAACACCAGATGTCCGCTCAGCGTGGACTGACTTCCCGGCCAAGGGCAGGGACCACCTCGGGCACGCAGAGGCACGAGGCCTTCAGACAGGTCCGTCTGAGGGTTCCGTCCAAGGCCACGAACCTCCCTCTGTGAAGCCTTTCTGTGAGGAACACGCCCCACAGGAGGGACTGGACCCGGGCAGGAGGACGGACTGGACCCCGGCAGGAGGGGGGACTGGACTCCCGCAGAGGGGGGACTGGACCCCCGCGGGAGGAGGGGCTGGACCCCGGCGGGAGGAGGGGCTGGAC